TATATTTATGATATATGGTATAGACTATATGTATACATATATGCATATCATATATATAATATATATAAAATCAATATATTTATATATAATATAATGTACTTTATATATGCATTATATATAAATATGCATATAATATATTTAAATGCATAAAATCAGGGTAATTATTTTAGAAATCACTCATATACATGTAAAGATTGCCATATATAATCAAGGGCAACTGATAGGCAATATCCCACAAAACCCCCTATGGCTCAGGAATGAAAAAAAGAATCTCTTCACAAGGCTAAGGAAAGCATAATTGGCTCTCCAATATCCACTCATGGGTCTCTAAGCAGTATGAGAAAAATACCTTGTGGTCAGTCTTGGCAAAACGAGGTTATTATAATGCCAGAATTACTGTTTTACCACAACATACAGTATCCTATACTACTGGGATTTATAGAAAGGGTTAGGTGGTTTTCCATAAATGAAAGTATGTATGACTATATCTGAAGATTAAAGAAAGGGGAAAAGTATGGCAAATTATCATTCTGGATAATTTGGATGTTCTTGACTTTGAACCAAAGTTTTTATGACAAAGTCACTAGTTGTCAAATTTTAGCAGCTAGACTAAAAATGTCTTTCATTTCATCAACATGGAGAACATGGGAAAATTGCTTCCTTTTGTCCATGCTGAATACAGGGACTTATCAGCAATACCCATTTGAAATCTGTAAGGAGTCTTTGTCTGCCAATGGTAATTAATTTCTTGGCAGAGGATTTGTTTTTCATTATGAATAAATACTATGGTTTGAATTGTGGGAATACCCAATTCAAAACAAATTGGTAAGCAGCTATTATATTATATTACAGGTATGTCTGGTTTTTTTTCCCCAGGAAACTCTGAATGCCAGTTTTATGTCTGGATAATTGTAGCCTTTTTGGGGTTAGCTCTGGTTGTATCACTGATCTTCAATATTTCCCACTATGTGGAAAAGCAGCGACAAGGTAAGACATTTTGAGAAATAGCCAGATAGTACCAGCTTGAATGGAGACAAGTCACTGGAAAACCTATAGAAGAAGACACTTTTATGAACTGTCATGCAATAGGGTATTTTTATCTCTAGGAAACCTATTTGATACTTTTTTTCCACCCTTAGGTTTCTCTTAATTTAAAAATGCAGTCATACTAGAATATAAACAGACTCCCAATCTTGGCTTTATCTCTGCCTTAGGATATAGAGTAGGAAGGAATTGTCTTGGTAGAATGTAGTGTTTCTTTTTTAATGCTATAGTATCATTTTTTAATTTTTAGAAATTTATTTTTTTTATTTTTTATTGTTATGTTAATCACCATACATTACATCATTAGTTTTTGATGTAGTGTTCCATGATTCATTGTTTGTGCATAACACCCAGTACTCCACGCAGAATGTGCCCTCTTTAATATCCATCACCAGGCTAACCCATCCCCCCACCCCCCTCCCCTCTAGAACCCTCAGTTTGTTTTTCAGAGTCCATCGTCTCTCATGGTTCGTCTCCCCCTCCGACTTACTCCCCTTCATTCTTCCCCACCTGTTATCTTCTTCTTTTTCTTTTTTCTTAACATATGTTGCAGTATTTGTTTCAGAAGTACAGATCTGTGATTCAACAGTCTTGCACAATTCACAGCGCTCACCATAGCACATACCCTCCCCGATGTCTATCACCCAGCCACCCCATCCCTCCCACCCCCCACCACTCCAGCAACACTCAGTTTGTTTCCTGAGATTAAGAATTGCTCATATCGGTGAGGTCATATGATACATGTCTTTCTCTGATTGACTTATTTCACTCAGCATAACACCCTCCAGTTCCATCCATGTCATTGCAAATGGCAAGATCTCATTCCTTTTTATGGCTGCATAATATCCCATTGTGTATATATACCACATCTTCTTTATCCATTCATCTGTTGATGGACATCTTGGCTCTTTCCACAGTTTGGCTATTGTGGACGGTAGAATGTAGTTTTCCTCCTCCAACTCAACAGCTCATGATATTGTAGCCTATTCTGCAGCAGCCATAAAGGTTCTCACTGATACCCGATGGGGAGAGTGGAGACCTAACTCCTCAAGCTTCCACTCGAGCCTGCTCAAATCCCTCAGCATCAGTCAGAGCCTCTAAAGTACAGTTAGCTGGATTGGATCAGAAGAGAAATGGAAAAGCAACAGGCTGACCCACAGGCTTATTTTCTAACACTCCTGGCGTTAGCTTTTCCTTTCAACAAGCCGGTCAGCAGTTTTAACCATGTGGCTTTCACCCTCATGGACATGATTGAAATAGTGCAATGCCTGGCAGTTGGCACAATCTTTGCACACTACTGGCATTCAACACAAGTGTGTTGGGCGGATGGATGGATGGATAGATGGATATGAAAGTCCAGCTATCTCTGGGAGCAGGACATTTCAGTGGTAATAATGAAGAGAAGAGAAAATGTCAATGCATTTTAACAGATGAAAAGAAATAAAACAAAGTTAATAAAATTGCATTAGACACATGACCAAGAAAAACTGCATGAAGCTAATTTAGAACAATTGTCAGATTCTGGGGAGAGTCCTTGATCTTCTTAGGATAACACAAATATAAAATATGAAGATGGTGTTACTGTCATGCCTCTCAAAAAAGATGAGAGGCACTAGAAAGTGAAGTGGCATAGCTGAGGTCACACGTCTGCTCAATAGCAAAGTAAAGGACAAGGGCCCTGTCTAATTCTCTGTCCACAATGGTTTCCACTAGCACATGTTGCTTTTACATTGTTGACCAAATGTCCTCAGCCAGAAACCCAACATTCTTTTAGGATCTTTATTATATCATTTCTAAGCCTGAAATGCCAGGCAGGCAATGCTTTTCCATTAGCAATGATTTCAGTAATTCTTTTTTATTTTATTTTATTTTATTTATTTTATTTTTTATTATGTTATGTTAATCACCATACATTATTATTTATTTATTTGAGAGAGAGAGAATGAGAGAGAGAGAGAACATGAGAGGGGGAAGGGTCAGAGGGAGAAGCAGACTGCCTGCTGAGCAGGGAGCCTGATGCGGGACTCGATCTTGAGACTCCAGGATCATGACCTGAGCTGAAAGCAGTCGCTTAACCAACTGAGCCACCCAGGCACCCAGTAATTCTTTTTTAAATCAATGTTTTTTGAAACAAATTTCATAAGTCAGATGCATGAATGACCCATCATCTAACATCTTTGAAAAAGGCTTCTGTCAGAAAAAAATGAAGAGTAGCACTTTTCTTTATATAATAGCTTAAAATGACCATATTTTAATTTTCCCATTAAGATATTTTATGAATGCAGATAATATTGTCACTTGTATTAGAAAAAGGTGAATTGAGAGGCATCTGGGTCTGCATTTGGCTCAGGTCATGATCCCAGGGTCCTGGGATCGAGTCCCGCATCCAGCTCCCTGCTCACTGGGGAGTCGGCTTCTCCCTCAGCCCCTCCCTCCTGCTCATGTTCCCTCTCCCTCTCTCTCTCTCTCTCTCGAATAAATAAATAAAATCTTTTAAAAAAGAAAAAAAGAAAAAGGTGAATTGAGGGCTTTAGAGTTGAAATAATTTAAAATGGAAGCCAGGACAAGATGTGAACCAGTACTTCACTCTCTATTGATTCCAGTGGCAGTTCTCTGGGGATCTGTGTGGGGCCAGGGAACAAGTAGCCTTTTCAGTTCTCATTTTTGGTAGTTTGTACATTGGAATTTATTTATCCATATTCATATCATTTGCCACCATATGAACTCCTTTTGGGAGTTGTTTTCTCATAATGGGTAGTTGACCACTACTAAAATATAGTAGACTAACTTCCTAAGCAAGAAAGAAAGGAAGAAAGGAAGGAGGAAGGGAAGAAGGGAAAGAGAAAAGCTTTTTCTTAAAAGAAAAACAAAACAGATTTTTTTTTTCATTTCAATTGTACAAATCCTAACTGCCTCAAGCGTGCCACAAATTACTTTGTCTAAAAGCAGTGTGGTGGGAAATAACATTAAAAAAAAAAAAAACAGGAAAGAGTAAATTACATTCATTGTTGTATTTTTAAAAATCAATCTCAATTTGTTTTTAACATCATGACTTTTGAAGTCAACCTGTCATGAATTAGAACCCTGCTTTTAATATTTACCTGGGAGATCTCTTGTACAAGAAACATAACTTATAGTTTCAGTTTCCCTGTCTACAAAATGTGGAAAATATCATCCAGACCAAGGGTTCTTGTGTGAATTCTATGGATCCCTCAGCACAGTGCTGGGGACTGAGGAGGTCAGTCTTGCACAGGGCACAGCCCACATTACCACTCTCCGTGGCCCTGGTGCTTCCTTCTCTCCTTCCACAAGTATTAGTGAAGGGCTTGCTATGACTACATCTTATTCCATTTAATTTTAGTGTTGGGTATTTCAGGGAGTTTCTCTGGCTCCTCACCGCTCCCACCATCTCCGTATTCTCTAGGCCCTCTCCAGCTCCCCTGTCACTTCCTGCCCCATCTCTATATCATTTAACACGTCTATGCAATAACCTGAGCTTTAGCAGTAACCGCTGTGTCCATTTAAGTCATAACAGGTGCATTTCAGAGAGTTTTCTGTAGGCTTTCATAGGATCGGTTCTAACCATTAGGCACTGCAAACTATTTTATTTGAGCAATAACATGCCCTCCTTACATGGAGCACACAACCCTGGGTCTTGCATTTTATTAGCGTGCAAACCTCAGATTAGCCTTGCAGCAGTGCTCATTGATGCCAAAATGCCCTTCCTTCTCATCCCATCTCCCTATTTTCTCTCTGCAACCCTCTCCCAACCGCCCCAGCTTCTCCCGACATCTTTCCCCAAGCATCCGAAATAATTGCCACCCTTGCTAGTCCACATGACCAAATATAGCACAGTCTGTCTTTCTCACACAGAGACTACAGGTGGCTCTGGGATTAGCTCTGCAAGCTGACTTCTTTCCAGTCCTGCTAAAGGCTCCTCCTGGCTTCATTTCTTCTAGACAGACAAACCAGAGGAGATTCAATTATATTAGCCAGCTTTTCTGCCACTTGGTCTGCGAACACAGTGCTCCCGTATCTGGCCTCAAGGAACTTTTTATTTTTGCATCTTTGTGCTATTCTTTGCGGCTAAGAAACTTGAAAGATATGACTCCACCTATGGCGAACAGTCGGTGAATAAGTTGTGCTGGTATATTAAATATCTTACAAAAGAAAATCTCCATCCCAGCAACAATGCAATATCTCCACATTCAATCAGATAGATCTGATAAGCCTCTCCTTGATGTTTTCTGTAGCAGTGTGAGGTAAAAGCTTTGTAATGGAGTTCTCCCTTCCCCCCAAAATAAACCTTACATTTTTAGGTGATTTTTTGTTTGTTCTTTAGGAGGATTATATTTATTTCTTTTTCTGCTAGGAAGGTATTAGCTTTGTCCTCCTTTAAATCCCCCAAATTTTCTTTATCCAGCCTTTCTTCTCTGTTTTGAGAAGAAGGATAAATAAGTGTATGGTTTGCTCATACATCAAAGTCTTATCAGTATATCTCCTACTCACTAGAAAATTATGGCACATTTTTCACATTTTCGCATTAAGAATGTATCAAAAAATGTTATTATGGAGTTTGAGCCAGGTGCTGTTGTTTCTTATTGTTATATATTGCACATGGAAGAGTAAACACTATAAAGGAGAAAACATAAAAGCAAATGTTTGCTTACACGCTCTCAACCATGAAGCTGACCGCAAGTTGTCTGTATCTGAATCACAGAGAGCGTGGTGAAAACTCACCCAGCTCTTCTCACACAGACTCTTGCAAATGTAACTGCTTCATAGCAACATAAAAACTGCTTTTTGTTTTACTAAATATCATTGAGATGGTTAGGCAGCTCCTAAATCATGCCATTTATTTTTAAAACCTAGAAGTCTTCATGAACGAGCCAACTCTCTTCAGGAGCATGAGCTTGCTGACCTTTTTCCTCAGCCCCAACCTCTAAACTTTTGATTACCACTCCTCTATTTAAAGAAATCGTATGCTATCACACTTCTTACTATAAGAAGGAACTTACTAAAACCATACGAGTACAGATTGTCCAGCTTCAGATTATACATTTAAATTCTAAGAGGAGTGTGGAAGGTGGCGACCTTGAACGTTTTAAGGACACTTTCAGGGTGCTTCTTCAATATGATTGGTCTTGATGTATAATTTCTTTACTTATTTTCTTCCTCACACTGTTTTAGTTTCTTTTCCTTCCATTTAAGCATCACATCGTTATCCTGTATCCTTCATAGAGTTGCTTCTGCTTCCTTTTTCCCCACAAAGCTTTTTGGTCCAAACCTTGTTTTGCTTCTCTCTACTGATAATACATCCAACAACATTTTCTTTCCATAAAGCTATCCTTTTACACATCACATTCTTGTACCTTCCAGACACCAACATTCACATTCCAAGCACTTCCAACTGGAAAATCCACATTATCTTTTAAAAATATTAATCGGTGTGCAGAAACATTTGACCCCATGCCTATTTTTTCTTATTTTCTGTAATAATGTCGTTATTTTTGTTTTCAGATTCTTTGTTTATTTTTTAATCTTTTAACACTCACTCGGTGACAATCCTCTTGCCAGAAGTGAGATTTGGTCATTTCATGACAAATCAAGCTTTACTTAAAAATCTTGTAAATAGCATTTTAATTATATCAGCTTGTTTTCAGCTAATCCATTTAATGAAGAGACTCTATTCCAATCAGCACAATTAAATTGTGATTGGATTTAGAATGTATATTATTGAAAATCAACTTTGTCATTTTCTAAAATGTTTTTAACAAAAATTATTTCATTTATCTTCCATAGCTACTCACATGCTATAGGCATTATTATCTCTATGTATAAAGTGAGAATCAGAGTTTTAAAGTGATTTGCATATTGTCACATGGCAAATGCATCGAAGAGCTGCTACCCAGATCCAAAGTCTTCTGATTTCTCACCCTGAATCTTTTCCATAATACATCAGGCTATGGTTTGACTGAATTCTTGTATATGTATTTTAATTCTTCCAAAGACACTGACATGTGACATGTCCATATGATCCTCCAACATGATGATTTTAATAATTTGTTCCAATATGTTTCTCTAACAGTTCGTGAACTTTCTGGAGAATACTTCAACTTTGTCACATATAAATCTAACTAAAAATAATCTTTCTAGTTGATTGGTGACTTACTCAGTCATTTGAAATATTTTTGCTAGTTCCTTACCAACACGGTATTTTTTATATATGAAAACTGAAAGATCACCCTTTGGTTACTATTTTCTCTGTGTTATTGCCAGAGACTTAGATAATATGGGCTTCATTTTTATAGAAATAGCTTTTGCAAGATTTTGGTATTCAATGCCACACTGAATAATACGGTCAAAATATAATAAATATCATAATATACACATCCATTCAATTCAATATCTAAGAAAATTTATTGATGAACAGATAATACAGACTTCTTCATAATATTGATCTTATTAAAACTGTGCTCTAAATTTCACCTATTTTCTCTCAATAATTCATTATGAATCTATGGATATTCACTAAAAAATTCTCAAAACTTTTTTTTTCAAGTTTGAATACATGTATTTAATTTGAAGCAAGAATACTTTCTTTTATTTGCCTTTGAACCACCACCTTCAATGTTCAACAGTGGGTTACTTTCTGAGACTTGGTACAGAATTTTTTCATGGTTTTATGATCCTACTACATCAGATCTCTGGTCAGTATTGATACTGCATACCGGTATACTGTTTCTTTTAAAAGCCACTCTGTGTTTTGATTATTTTTAGACTGTGTTCCCAACTTTTTCCAGATCTCGTCTCCCTAGAATCCTCATCTCTCCTTACTTCTGTTTGCACCATGTAGATGAGATAGAATCACAACCAGAGAAACTTCCTGAACATAATTTTTATGTTGTTCACATGACAAGAAGTATTAACAGACACTTCAAAAATAAATAAGTCTAGGATTTGTTTTGTTTTGTGTTTTTGTTTTCATTTGTTTGTTTTGGGTAAGGAAGAAAAGCTTATTCAAATCAGCAAGAGCAGAGAGGGAAATTTGACAGGAGGCAGAGGTGTTTCATGAAACTTGAAGGCTGAAAGGACAGTGTGCCCCACACATGATCGACTGCCCCCCAGCAAAGGCATTAATAGAGGTCCCCACGTTCATAGGTTGGTGTTTCCCATACATAAAATGGCCACACATCCAGGCCCTACATCACTTCCAAGCTGCGCTTGTGTTTCCATCTCAAATTACCAAGAGAGAATATATATGACTGGTCCAAATCAGAGAAGTTTTTTATGTCTGGTGGTGGTGGCTGAGTGTCTTGATTTAAGATGTTAACTGACACTGAAGCTAAGCTCGCCTCACAACATTCTCTAGAAGATTTAAGTGTATGTCAAAATTTCTTTTAATTTGTGTATTTTTAATATCTTTCAGATAACATGTACAGGTACTCTGAAGACTACATTCCCAGGTATGTAGAAAATAAGTTATGTATTATGACTCCCAACTAATAAGGGGGCATACCGAATGCTACATTGCTTATAGGTTTGGCTCAGGGATGTCACATTTGGGTAAAAATAAAACGAAAAGTGAGTTTTAATTACTTTCATTCCTCTCTGAAGATCAAAAGCTATAATGTTATTATCTTCCTTAGTTATTTACTTATCCTGAGTCAACAAGAGAGCTGGTTAAGGGACAAAATGAGACTCTAACCTGGTATCTACAGAATTCTTGTCAATTTCAGATGGCTCTATCTTAGATTATGATTCAGATCAGATTGTAAGAATGCAGTCTAATTATATATGGAATTGTGGGGCCCCTAAGAAACTGGGGTGGGAAAGAAATCTGGCAATACCTAAATAAAATTTAAGATATATATACATGCATACTTAGATAAGGATGCTTTGTGGTGTGTTGCTTTTGAGAGTAATGTCAATCAGTGGGGAAATGTGATAAATCAACCTTAAAATAATATATGGTTACAGATATAATGTATTCTCTTTAATATCTGTCGACTTAATTGTAGAGAAATTTGTATGTTTTTTTGTTTTTTGTTTTTTTACACAAAAGAAGGTTTACGGCATAAATCATAGCAAAGAATTTTCATTTTCTTCCACAGTATATTTTGGCCCAAATGTGTTATTAGATTGGAGATTTCTCCTTTAGGATAAAAAACATCTAAATATAGAGAATTTCCTAGAGGACTCTTCAAGACCTTTCTGAAATGGTAGACTGAAAGGCAGAAAGGTCTTTCACAAACACAGAGCTTTCTCACTGGGTAGGATAAGATTATAAGCTTTCTGTTAGCCTTTAAAAGGTCTTTTTAAAATTTTTCTCCATGTGGAAATATCTCTGACATTCAGGATGTAGGCTGCAGGCAGATTCACACAAAGAAGAAAATCTTTATTTTTATGATTTACCATTGGATTATATAACAGGAGATAAATTTCAATGCATTATCTCATATACAGAGAGATTTGTTGATTTGGTTACAACAAACAACATGACAAAGAAAATCCTATATGGATTTTCCATGTGGAAGTTAATCTCTTGGACAATTGATTTGATACTTGTCATTTGAAAGACAATTAAGATGCAATGTGATAGAAAGTCTAGTGATTTGATCATTCTGCTAAAGACTGGGTTGGTACTCTTGGATTGGGATGGTAAGAGTCAGAAGGGAAAATTGGTAAAATATCCATCTCATAGTAAGTGAGCTCTTACCTATAGGACAAGTGTGAAAAAGAAGTTGGTTCTTTTATAACATTCATTCATTAATTCATTCATTCAATAAGTATTTGTTCAACAAATAGGAGTTGTGTTACACAAGAGATGCAAAGATGGGAAGATGCAGATTGTCCCTCCTGGATTTAGTAATCTATTATCTATTGTAATAAATCTCAATTTAGGCATAATTTGAATATACAATGCAGAATTTAGCTATAACAAGTGGCTGGCATGTTAATTATGTATGTACCTCACAGCTTGTCTATTTCTGTTTATGTAGTTTGGGAGCCAAAATCACCTTTGTAGGAAGGGCATGGAGGCTCCAGGAAAAAAACAAGCAAACGTGAAACTATTTCCAGTCATTAAAACTTCAACATTAAAACAGCAAGTGGAAATAAAGGCTATCTTTCTTAGGTAGAAGTAAAATTAATGATGTCCCTCACTAATAGTTCTTAGATGGTTTGAGGCTACGGCTCCCCATTGAACCCTCTCTCTGCCCTTACTCAACATTGGCTTAGGTGGGAAGCCATGCTTCTCTGATCTTCATGCTTCCCCAAATTCCTGCCCTTCCTGCACTGTAGGTCAAAAATGTGATCACTTTAAGGACAATGTAGCATCTATATGTAACAGAAAGTCAGGTACACACTTCCTGGTAGTTACCCGTGGGCCACTTTATTTTTCCTGTAAAACATAATTCTAGGGGCACCTGGGTGGCTCAGTCGGTTAAGTGTCTGCCTCAAGGTCATGATCCCAGGGTCCTGGGATCAAACCCTGCATAGAGCTACGTGCTCAGCGGGGAGCCTGCTACTCCCTCTCCCTCTGCCCCTGCTTGTGCTCTCTCTCTGTCAAATAAATAAATAAAATCTTTAAAAAAAAATCTTTAAAACATAATTCTACACAATTCTGGTCTTTTACTCTGTGTCAGGAAGATAAGACAGTGGGAATATCCTGGATTTGAGATCTGGACAATTCTGGATTTTAATCAAACTCTTGTAATTACTAGGCTTGGAGTCTTAGCAAAATGAGCATTGGTGAACTTCAGTTGTATCATCTGAAAAATACAGATTATAATGTAATGCTTCCCTTACAAAGCATAGTCAATTAAAAAAAAGATAATGCTTTATCAGATGAAAATTAAGGTCTGAGAAAATTCCTGCCCATTTCCTGTATATTTATCCTCTAATTTAGGAAATCAGTTCAGGTTTACAACTACTTTAAATTTATCCTGACTCCTCAGTTTCAGAGTCTCTCTCAAAAACCTTAGGACAGATTCCAAGCAGCTTTTGCATGCTCTACTCCTGGGTGGCACTGAAAGGTGCTTTTATGACAAAACATAACTCATCTCAGCCATTTTTCTACCTTAAGATGATTTCTTGGATTTCCGGAGCTCTGCAAGCTCCTTTCACTTCCCTTCTTTACTAAATACGCTAACCCTGGACCTCACTTTTTGTCTCAGCTGTCCTCCTCACCTGAGGATGTTTATGACAAGAGACCTTTTTAAAAAAAAAAAAAAAAAAGATTGTATTTATTTATTTGAGAGAGAGAGAGAACTAGCACAAGCAGGGGGAGGAGCAGAGGGAGAGGGAGAAGCGGGCTCCCTGCTCCCTGCAGAGTTCAATGTGGAGCTTTCCCTCCCAGGACGTGGGATCATGACATGAGCCAAAGGCAGACGCTTAACCGCTTAACCGACTGAGCCACCCAGGCACTGTGACAAGAGAACTTCTGGGTAGCCTTCCCAGACATCTGAGACTTCCAAGTGGATGTGCAGATGAAGCCCTCACTGTGATCATTGCCATGCTTGTAACCAAAATAGCTCCAAGTTTTCCAGCCTTCTGTTTATTTGTTTTAATGTACAAATAACCATTAGCCAAGCTCCATCCCTGTGTGACTGCAAGATGTCCAGTCCCTTATTAAGTATTGTTTCTTAAGAATCCTTGAGAAGTATGGATAGGTTCCAAAAACCTTATTCTCAATTGTCTTTTTGTCACCCCTAGCTCTGTGTCACTGCTCTCAGTGTCTTTGCCCATGTCTTTAGAATTCTTCATGTGGGCAGATATTTCTAGTCTCCTTTCCCCAAAAACTTTGGCAAAAGACCCTTCATTTTAAGTACTCCAAAGCACTGGCAATAAGCGCCTTGTGTTTAAGAGACTTTACAAAGAAGTGGATATACTAGAAGAAAATTGGAACACTGATCAAGAGAATAAAAATTTAGTATTAAGTAGTATTAAATATCATTGCTCTGAAGATCCATTAAGCAACCCCCTCACAGAAAACACCAATGGATTCACTTCTTAGTCTCCAACCATATAAAGCCAGTACTGAGGTTTGTACTCTTCCCCAGGACCAGGGGTCTATATTTGGTCCTCTTACCCCAAGTTCAAGACACCTACACCCATGTCATGCTCCCTGCCAAAGAAAGCAAAAATTCAGTGAGCATGTTCTCAGAAACACATCTCCCCAGCAACCTTCTCTTTCCTCCTACATCGTTGCTTTTTCTGTCCCTTTTGTATTATTCTCATCAATATATAACAGTTTTGTTTCAAACCGGAAAGAAAGACGAAAGAAAAGAAAGAGAGAAAGAAAGAAAGAAGAAAGAAAGAAAGAAAGAAAGAAAGAAAGAAAGAAAGAAAGAAAGAAAGAAGAAAGAAAGAAAGAAAGAGAGAAAGAAAGAAAGAAAAGAGAGAGAAAGAAAGAAAGAAAAGAGAGAGAAAGAAGAAAGCTTTCTTGATACTGGATTGCCTACAGCTACCTCTCCTGTCCTCTGTACCCTTTATAGCAAAACATGAAGGTTCCATCTACATTCTGCCCATATTTGCTGGCTTCTCCTCCTCTCTTTTTTCTTGAACCTATTCTATTCAATTTTCTGCCTTCAATAATCTGCCAGCTCAGCTCTTGTCAAGGTCACCAGTGAAATCTACATGGTCAAATCTTAGTGTCTTCGCATGCGTTCACCTGTAGCATTTGACACATTGACACTCTCTCCTTCTTGAAACAGTTACTTCTCCAGGCTCTGGGTCCTCTCATCTACAGTCCTCCTCCTCACCAGTAGCTCCTTGTCCTTTGTTGACTCCTGACCCTTTGACATCAGAGTGCCCAGGGCTCATCTAATGAACCTCTTCTCTATCTATACTCATTCCAGAAAGTAGTTTTATCTTTTCTGATGGCTTCAAATAACATTTATACCCCAATGGAGTCCAAGCATATATATCTCCCAATTCAAAGAATAACCTATGAAGCAAATCAAGGTAACACCAAAACCAATTTCTAACAGACCCCTAAGCTTGCTCTTTCCTCAATCTGACAACTTTCCAGACACTTAAAATAGCTTTATTTAGTTTTGTAGAAATAGCTTTCATTTTTCTTTGGATATCGGAGCCCTACATTTATATCATAGAATTTCAGAGTTGAAAAGAACAATAGGGATTAAATAGTTTAATAAACTTGTTTTATAAATAAGGAAATTGAAACTCAGGGAGTTTATGTCCAAAGCCACTCAGATAGAAGTAATGATTTTTTAAAAATTGAATTTACTTAATGTACTTAGATTATGAAGTATTTAAGCATTTTTCTAAAAGGACTTCACAATAGAATAACGATGAAATTAAAACTTTAAAAATAGGGACTAAGGAAAATATACGTGAAAGTAGAAAATAGTAAAAGATACAATTAATATTATTTTAAATTTTGGAGTGTCAGTAAATGTGCTTTGTGTTCAGAGGGCCATTTCAGACATGTTCAGAGCAATGCGCTCGCCTCTGGGATATGGGCTTATTTATTAATCTATTTTTAATGGTAATTGATCTTCCACATAAAACACTACCAGACATTTGTACTTAAAGTTTATTAGATATTTGCAATAGGCTGGAGCTATTTGGCATTGCAAAGTAAAAATATATTTTTTTAATTTGTAAGTTAGGCAACTATTCCTTTATAATAGTTTATTTGGGATGATTAATCATTTGAGACCTGCCTGTAGACACAGGGCACTGCATTATAAATCACATCTTATTTTCATTCATAGGGAATGAAATGATATTCATTTTTTGGACATGATTTATCATTTGCAGGTTGTATCTGTTATCTGTGTGAGCTAGGAAAATGGATGGATTGTCTTATTAAAAATTCTTCACCTTTTGCTATTATATTCTCTGCATAGCCAGAGAAAAACCATGAACAAGGACTACTCCACATCCCAATATTAAGCTGTACTGAATTACTGATGCAAGGAAAGGTTACAGATGAGTTGCTTTGTTATCAGATAAAAGAAATACATGCCAGCATCTGGACTTTTCAAGCCATTTCATACAAGTATCATTTGATCTGTTTTTTTTAAGGACACCTACTTACTATTTACGTATACTGTGTCTTCTTTCAGAAGCATAGGGAGCAGTATAGGTGCTATGCCTTGAGCTACGTGTTTTTTCTTTTCATGCAATTCCTCCAGCTCTCGGTGATCTGTAATCTCAAAGTTAAAGCAGTTGCTACTATTTTATGAAATGCCAGTCTCACTGCTGATATGTTCCTCTGTTCCCAGCCTGCCATTGTGAAAGCTGGTCACCAGGGCCATTGTCATTGTCTGGTGACAATGATAGGATGTCTACTCTGATCCTAAAAGGATTTCTCAGATGAAGCTGTAAGGAAATTTAATCAAACATCAAGAGCAAATAGTATTCAGGGTTTTTGGACCAGAGTTGCATTACAGTCCTAGCACTGCTAGTTACTGTCTTTGTCTTTGGACAATTTAACTCTAGGAGTTACAAATTCCTTATATGCACAGTGGGGATTAAAAAAAAAAAAGTATCTCAGGGTTGTTGTGAGGGCTGAGTGAGCACTGGCATGAAGAGAAGCTTTCAGAATTGGTGCTTATTGTGGGCATTACACATAAAGCTAGGGAAAATATGTTAATCTATCTGACTCTCAGACTTCCCATCTATAAAGTGGGAAATAATATTTTTGCAGCATTCCCTAGGACTTTGGTATAATGTACATAAAACATTTAACACGGCATCTGGATGTAATAATAGGTGATCAATCATTTTACGACATCTGGATATCTGCCAAGCTGGATCTATAGTATCTCTTTGGCCTTGTATTTTTTAAGCATCATTATCAGTTAGTATTTACTTAGTAGTTTTAGGGGATTATTCAGAGTGATATTCTGGGCAAGTAAACTGGCAGTACAATATACAGTTAAGAGTACAAATAACCTCAGTTCTAGTCCCAACTCTGCCACTTACTAGTCTTCTGACCTTCAAATTATATGACCTCTCTGTGCCTCAAATTCCTTATCTATAAAATGGGGATGTGATAGTGCCTGTCTGGTCAGATTGTTGTTAGAATGGAATAAAGGAATATAGAAAATGCAGTTGAAGTAGCATCTGACAAACATAAGTGCTAAGTAAGTATTTGCTATTGTTATCTCCTGAAAGATCCAAAAACACCTGTTCAAATATATACACACACACAATGCATGTAGGCATTCATGCACTTTTGCATCCATTCACTTGTACATAAACATATCTACCTTGGTTGGCTGAGAATAAACAAGAACATGCAATCATATATTGAATTTAGCTGGGAAATTAGTTAAGAACTATGTGTAAAGTGGATTCTAATAAGATATTTTTCATTATTGTAGGGAGGATGAGTATTATATTGAAGACACACCAATTTATGGTAACTTAGATGACATAGTCCCAGGTAAGTTTTATTTTTCCAAAACTTATATTTATCTATAAATTAATATCCCTCCCCTTAATTCCACAACATTTGAGGTGGCTTATTTTTGGTTGCAATCACATTTAAATATCCCAATGGTAACCATAGGTTCAATAATGTTTAGCATATTACTTAGTATACATTTCCAAAGCTGCACATTATAAATTGTATTGCAACATCTTGTTTTTCTATATTGTCTTAATTTTACTGTAGTAGAAATGTGAATACGGGAGACTCTGTTACTATGAATTTTGACACACACAATTCTATGAAATAAAGCTATTTCTAGAACAGAAAATGGCTCAGGGAAACAGAGCTTTGTCTACAAAAGCAAATCTACAGTGAATAATCTGGAACAAGGAGCATGTTCTCTGGTTTCCCTTGTTTTAACTGCTCATGTTAAGCAGAGAACCTAGGGCCACATTGATGGCAAGTGGGGAAAGAGAAGAACTAAATTACCACTGACTAGGTTATACATTTTTTGTCCTTAGGTAACAAGTACTTTTCAATTCCCAGCATCCCTTATTGAAACATCCCAAACACCCCAAAACTAAATGCCACTAAATTCCTTAAAGCAGACAATCATGATCTGATGCCAGAGCTCTGATGAGAGAAGCCAGGAGGCTAAATGCTAGCATTTAACCCCATCCTTGCACCCACAAGCATTTCACTTCGTTCATGAATTGGGGGTTAACAGAGATTTTCAGAAATGGACTAAACTATCTGAATCTCTGTATATCAAATCTAAGCTATCTAAATCTCTGTATATGCAATTCTCCTAAAGTTAGGAATGTGAGAATATTAAAGGATTCAAAATTTTATTTCATTAAAAAATGTATTTAATCTTTGTCTTTCCCCTCCTTTTAAAGATCTTCTAATCTCTATACTCTGAGAAATCAGAACTATTTTTTAGGACTATCCTGTTAAAAATAATTTGCCCTCCTGTTTCACCTTGCAGAATCATCGTGCCTACCCGTAATGTTTGCGATTTCAATTCTTCCATACTCTGGTGGTACAAAGCCCACCATATCTGCAATTTCCGTATCTAAGGGAGCATAGGTGCCACGCACACATTCTGATTAATAATGTTTAAGAATAGGGTTTAGGAATTTGCTAGTTAACAATTTCCGGAGAAATCTAATGTATGTTTTCCATGGACCATGCTTCGAGAAACATTATTCCTCTGTGTTGCTTTTCAGAAAGGGTTGAATGACTGATTATAAGATAACTTGCATTGTAGTAAATATATCTTTTCTTCTATGGGATCAAATCAATGCAATCCACATTTCTGCCAGGCAACTGGCCATCCTACAAGTCACTTTCTCTCTTTCTTCTCCCTTTCAAACAGGCATATCTGGGGGAAGAAAGGGATGAATGGTTTAATAAGCATGTCCCCACAGGATGAAATGACTACAGGTCTGCTGGCTATTGGACACTGCACAAACCCTAAATACTTATGACCAGCATTACAGAGCTCCAGACCACCCAAACATCCTGGATGTGCTGTCACTGATTTATGGGACAAGAAACATGACCTAAACATTCTTTTTCAAAAATAGAGGTGTTTAAATGCCTCTGAGTAAAACTTCTTACTCGTGGGAAAAATGACCAAATTGCAATCATGGGCGCATGTGCACTGCGCTGTGCCACTGTGCACCATTTGCAATTGCACCCAAATAGAAGCAAATACATGGGATCTCTGTGACATCCAAATGGAAGCTTAAGTTGAGCCCATCATATCCTGCAATGGCATAAATTAATATGATCTAGTCTTTATCCCAAGTGACCTTCTTTTGTCTTATTATTAACGCTATGGGGTAAAAGCCTTCTTCACATTCTGATCTGCAGAAAATGGTTTGTGCTTCCTTACTTTTTTGCATCTCTGCAAAAAAAGGCGAATGATTCTTGGGGGTTGCACATATACAGCTAAGTGTGGTTGGGTCATGTATTTTTATTTGTGCCAGCATTTTTTCATTTTTCCATTGTAAATCATGATCTTTTCAACTCTCAAGAACCAGTGGATGAAAATTGCTATGAACAAATGAAAGCTCGACCAGAGAGATATACAAATGAACTGCAAGAAGCCACCCCACCTGCACAGGTGAGTTTTGTTGTCTGTATTAAGGGTCAAGCTCAGCCTAGATCACAGCATGGCTGCATGTTTTAAGAACAGAAGAGCAGCACATTCTGATTCACATCTGAAGCAGTCTGATATTTTACAGGCCAAATCAGTGTCAAGTTCTGGGACCTGAGCTCTAAAGGGAACCTCGAAGGCAAATAAACGGCACTCAGAACCACACTCGAAAAGTCAAAATTGTGTACCATTACAAAGTCAATAGGTTGAAGGAAAAAGTGGATTCTCTTCTTAATCAATTAAGCTTTTTCTTTCAGATTGAAAAAAATCATGTACATCACAAAGATAAACATAAAAGTTGACACATATATAATGCTCATAAGACCTAGATGTCAGGAATTTATGGGGGTAGGGGGAGAAGGGGAGAGGGAAGGAGAGAGAGAGAGAGAGAGACAGTGCTTTAGTTAAAAGATAAATTAGCTGGATATAAAAGGCCGTACTTCTATTTTATAAGGCAAATGAGTGTAAATTTTAACACAAGTTCATGGCTGTGGGCTAATGGCAAGAGATTTTCACATGGCTTGTGCAGGGTTAGGTAGGACAAAAATGTAAGCAGAAACATATGAAAACCCAAGAAGAAATAGATAATTTTTCCTTTTCCTACCATAATCAGTTCCACCTCCTCAGACATAGCACTGACTTCATCAGAAACCATTCACAGTTCTTCATCTACATGCTGCTGAAATGTTATAAATTTCAGTTAAAAGAGTTCTTCCTTTCCATCCTAGATCTTGTCCCTTCAGTTATGTGTTCTCTTGCTACTCCCTAGAAATAGTGAGAGGGCCAGCCAGCATTTTCTGTGTGGTCCTTATGTGTCAGGCCTTGTCATATGTTCTTTATATGTATTATCGTTTTAGAGTTTTATGAGGGAAACAGCATTATTTCTCCCATTTGACAGAAGCTTGAGAAAGTTGAAAAACTTGCCCTAAAGCACTCAGGTACTAAGTAGAAAGAGAATCTAAACTTAGTCCTGTCTAACAGAAAATATTCTTCTCCCTAAGATGGGTCACATCTTGAAAACTTCTCATTAAGATAGAATTTTTTTCTTTTCCTCTACATGAATCCACCAAGAAATCAGAATTCTTGAAGTTTTTAAGAAACCAAGGTGTGGTAAGGTTTAAACAGATTAGGAAGTCACTTCCTGATGCACAAATCTGTCATCTGATGTGTGATTAATGGTAAAAAAATTTTTAGATAAAAGGTATGAAAACCTGCATGTTCTAATATACCTGCTAAATCCAATATAATAAAGAAAAACCTCTTAGAGAAGGCTAAAATATAACCACACCATCTGAAATGTAGAGATTCACAGCACCTTAATTGTAAAAGAGCTGAAAATTCATAATAAAAGTTGCTATTTAGTACATATGAATTGTGGTGAATCTGGTTTTTACTCAAGTGGAAATTGTGCAAAGCTTAAAGTGTCTTTAAAAGCCTGCTATTTTATAAATTATGTATTTAAAGATACTTATAAGGAGATTAGTATTTATTCTATTATACCTTTCTCACAAATCTAGTTTCACAAATTAAACATAATTTCTTTATATTTGCTCAATTCCGTTTTATTAGAATGATCATGATCATCAAAACCACTACCCGGTTTGCTACTACAATACTTACCCTTCGGTCAATTACAAGAGCACTCTACAATATTATGCAGAAAACTTTATGGATAAAGTGACTATTTGTTGGGAAAAGAAATAAGGTCCTTGCCCTTTAAAAATGATGTGCACAGTTCAGAAGTTGTAATTTCAATATCTATGTCTACCATTAACTAAGAAGAAACCTAATAATAAAATGAGTCCACAGAGTTCCTATATCATAAAACAAAGTGAGGGATACAAGTGTGAGCTTGTTCCTCTCCTCTTCATGTCTCAGTCTCGCACTGGTCTTTCCTTTTCCTCCTATGTCAGAAGTATCCACTCTCCTTTCCTAAGCCAATACCAATTTATGCTGTTGATCATTTCCTCCATTGCTTTCAAGATCTTGCATCTTCAATTATTTAATTTGTCTCCATTTTCGATCTTTTCTTTAAAGAATCATTACGATTGACCTACCCAATATGCAAAAATCACCCCAATTTTTAAAAACAAAAACAAACAAAACAACAAAATTTGCCTTCCGCCTGTGTTTCTCTTTAATTCTTAAACTGATTCTTACTTTCCTCCACTGTTTCCATTGATACACAATCTTTTACTCCTGGCTATATTTTTTCCACCCATACACTCAACTGAAACCACTCTCTGGAAGTCACAAGTGACTCATCATGTACAATCTGTGATCCTTTCTCAGGACTCACATTCTTTGAATTCTGCAGCGCTTGATAAAGTTGACCAACTGTTGACCAAACATACACTATTTGAAATGTTTTTAGTTATAAGTACAGAAATAAAGATCTCCAAGTCCAGCCTGAAATGAGCCCAAAGGGTACCTGGGGACAGGCAGGCAAGAAGGAAATAAAGGGGGAAGATGGAAAACTATAATTCTTGCCAGATGCCAGTCACAATAATGGATACTGTCATCTTTATACTTCTGCATCTTTATACTTTATACTTCTGAACTTCAAAAATGTAGAAAAGGTGGGGATTTTTGTGGGTACCATCAAAAGACCAGTTATTAAACATATGCAAAATAGATTTTGAGATTCATTACATTCCTTCCTATCATGCTTGTTCCCACTTTAACAAACGGGAGTATTGTCACTTGGTGAAAGCAACACAGGGCGAGAGCTACCTAAGGTGAAGGCAGGGGGAGAGGCACGTGAGAGTCCATCTAAAATGTTCATGTATATTTTGTGTATAAAAAGAAATAAAAATACACACACACAAATTTCATCTAAGCATTTTTCTACTCAAAAGTCTTGAGTTGACTATTGATTGTTTTTTGTTGTCATCCTACCTGGCCAGTTTGGCAAAACAGGTAGCCAAAGCCCAGAAAACAAGCTGCTTGTTTTTCATAGATCTTAGAAATTCCCAGATGTCATCAAAGTTAAAGAATGAGATAACAACAAAAAGTTAACATGCCTTTCTTTTTAGGCAACTGAGGAACCACAGATGTTCTATGCCTCACTGCATCACAACTGTGAGGGGAAGCTCAGGAAGCCCAAGAAAGAGAATAGTTATTTGATAGACAAGGATGAAGATAAGCAGTTACATGCTGTGGATGCCAGCCTTTCTAAGACCACTTCGGTAAACAATTTCCCACTTGAGAGCCAGGAAATAGAGGAAAATGTTCACGATGATCCCATCAGACTGTTTGGATTGATTCATGCAAAGAGAGAATCTATAAATTAGCTGGGCTATGATCTAGCTCAATAATCCCACTCTTACTGGAGATGTTAAGAAAAAAAAATCCCTATACGACACAAGATTTGGGAGAGTGACGATCTAAATCATTTGTTAGTGGGATGGTGGCTTACCTCTTATCCAGAGCTTATGTTCTTGCAAACCAAATGTAATGCCGTGAAAATTAGTTATTTGAATTTGCTTACCAAATGCCTAAGTAGTAAAATGTAAAATAAAATCAGATTTGCAAATTGAACCTAATTACGAGGTCACAACTTCACCAACCATACTTAATACTTTGTAAAATAAAACAAAAAAAATGTTTTAAGCATAAGTATACTCTAGAACATGTTGAAAGAAAAATAAAAGCCACCTTTTAAAAAAATATTTTTCCTTTTTCATCCATGGAACACCCCTTAATTGAAAGAAATTTCTGATTGAAAGACATGGGACATTAAATATATTTCTACGAGAAGTGGAAGAGTCTTCTTAAGAAGTATTGTTCCCAAACGGAAGTATCTTTATTGCTTTTTAGAATTGTTATAGAGTTAATGCATGCTCCTTATAACAATAAACAAATATAAAAAAGAATTTGGATATTCCACTGGCCATAGATAATTACTATGAGCAACTTTCCATATGTACATACATCAGTTGTCTCTTTCTTTTTTTCTCTTTTACCAAAAAAAGGGAGTGATTATTTTACACATATTATTTAAACTTTTTCCACTTAATATATTGGTGATTTATTTTCCTTATTTTTTTAACTATAACTAAATACAGTTACATATTATAATTTTAATGCCTGCATAGCATCTCACTGATGACTACATTAGAATTTATTCAAATAATTTGAAAGTACATTTAGCTCATTTCCAAGTTCTGTTTTTCACTTTTACAAATAATATTGCAATGAGAATGCATCTCCACACGGGTGTAAGTACTTACCTGACTTCTCGAGGCTAAATGCCTAGGAAAAGAATTGCTACTTTAAAAAGTGTACATGGTGAGTCTCCGTAGAATATATTTCTAAAAAGTCAAGAGTTTGATCAAGGTACGTGTCCAACTTAAATTCCTAAACTGCCCTCCAAAAATTATTTTTTAAAAAAATCTTTCTGTTATCTTTCTCCATTTGGAATAGAAGTTTAACTGGGTCTCAAGTCATCACTGACCAAGGTAAGTGTACATGTGAGCTGTCAGTCCTGCCCTCTAACCAGAGCTTAGTGGATTTCATTCATTCTTTCTTCAGTTCTTTGTTGAGCTCCTAGTGTAGTGTAGGCACTAATTTAGACACTTGTGTACAATGAGGGAAACAGAGGTAAAACAAGGTAGGTCCTGTCCCCATGGAACTATAAGTGTATAGAAAAGATGAGTATCAGGTTAATAAAGTATCAGCACTAGTAAAAAAAATACAATTAAGAAAATAGAGTGAGAAATAATAATGGCGAGAAGGGCATCTCTGAAGAGAAAATTTTAATTCTGAGAACTGAACAATGAGGAGTGACCCATGTAAAGAGAGAGGAAGGAGGGCATGTGTGGAAGAACTCTGTCCATATTTGGAAGTACCAATTTCTGTCAATAATTGTTTTCCATTATGAACTGGCATAGAATTAAATGCCAATGCTAGAGTAAAAGATTTGAAGTTGTCCACAATGTCATAAAAAAATCCAAAAATATATTAATGTCTAAGGGCAGAAGAATAAGAATCAGGTTTCTGATTCTAGAGAAAAACCATAAAAACATAAATAATAATTAATAAGTATATATTTACTTTAAATTTTCAAAATATTTGCTATCATACATTTGTGTTACATTTCTATACATACCATGGTTCAGTAAAAATAAAGTTTGATTGTATTTTTGGCAGTTACTTTTTCCCATAACTAATCTACATCATTCACTTACATTATTGACCTAGCTACTAAAGATATTTGCATTTTTTGCCTCTGGTTTATATCATTTGAATTCCACTCAATATTTTGAGTTTTATGTATCAAATGTACTTGATGACTGATAATTTGGAAGGTTTTAACCACAAATTTAACTTCCTTAATAAATAAAAGACTATTCAAGTTATCTATTTCCTGTTGAGTGAATGTGGTAGTTTGTGTCTTTTGAGGAATGTGTACCTCTCATCTAAGTTGTTTAATTTATTAGCACGAAGTTGTTCAAAATATTCCAATATTTTCCTTTTAATATCTGAAGAATCTAGTAAATTTAACTTCTCTTTGATGCTTCTTTTTCCCCCCTCATCTGTCTAGCGAGAGATTTATCAACTTTTTTATTTCCTCAAAGAACCAGTTACCATTCACATAATTTTTCTGTTGTTTTTACATTTTCCGTTTCATCAATTTGCCCTCTGATCTATATTATATATTTCTTCTGTTTATTGTGTTTTCATCTGTTCTTTTTTTAGCTTCTCAAGGTGGAAGCTGAGGTCAGTAATGAGACTTTTCTTCTTGTCTAAAATGGGCATTTGGTTTCATAAATCTCCCACAAATTTTGATATATTGTGTTGTTATTTTTATTTCAAATATTTCTAATTTCCCTTTGATTCCTTCTTTGGCCTATTGGTTATTTAGAAGTGTATTATTTATGCAAACAATGAATCATGGAACACTACATCAAAAACTAATGATGTAGAAAGAAGGAAAGATGGCGGAGGAGTAGGGGACCCTATTTCAACTGGTCCCCAGAATTGAGCTGGATATCTATCAGACCACTCTGAGCACCCACGAAATCAGCCTGAGATGTAAGAAGATCCGGATCTCTACAAACAGATATCGCAGGCAGTTGGCTTTGAGGTAGGAAGCGGGGAGCCGTGATTCCTCAGGCAGATAACAGAGGATAAAGGGCAGCAGGAGGGAGCCTGGCCATGGGGATCCTACACCGCTGATGAGCGACAGCCTCACGCGCTAGGGACCGGGCACAGACTCGCAGACCCGTAGCAGCGGGGAAGGACTTTAGGGCAGCCCCTGGGGTTAGAAACCCAGAGCGCCAGGGTCACGCGTGCAAACTGGGAGCAGCTGGTGGTTTTAGAAGCACAAAGGGCAGAGACGTGCTCCAACCTGGAGGCAGGACTGGGAGCGCTGCGGAGGGGCGCACAACCCAGGCCGCTGCAGTTTAAAGCAGTGCGGACAGAAATGGAGATGGTGTGGCCTGGAGAGCTCACTGAAGAACAGAATGTGGTCTCTCTGCTCTGAGGTCTCTTCTGCTCTGACTCGCAGAAGAGATGCAGAAAACTGCCAGGGAAAGCCGCCAGAGAACAAAAGCCCCCAAAACCGATTCCCGCTGAGCCCATCCCCCGCCACAAGGGGGGCAGGGCAAGTCCGCCCAAACAGGGTTGCCTGAGTAACAGCCTGGCAGGCCCCTCCGCCAAAAGACAGGCTGGGAAAACAAGAGGCCAGCAACCCTAAGGTCCCAAGAAAATGGTGCATCTTGCCTGGGTTCTGGTCAATAATTTGGACTCTATACATTCCCTCAAACACCCATCAACACAGTGACTAGAAGGAGGAACCCCCAAAATAGAAAAGACTCAGAGATCATGACTTATGCTGCAGATTTACAAATGGATACAGATATAACCAAGATGTTGGAGACGGAATTCAGGCTAGCTATTGTGAAGACAATGGCTAGAATGGAGAAATCAATTAATGGCAACATAGAGTCTCTGAGGGCAGAAATGAAAGGTGAATTGGCAGAACTTAAAAATGCTATCAATGAGATCCAATCCAATCTAGATAATCTAACAGCTAGGGTAACTGAGGCAGACGAACGAATTAGTGACCTGGAAGACAATATAATAGATAAAAAGGGAAAAGAGGAGGCCAGGGAAAAACAACTCAGAATCCATGGAAATAGAATCAGAGAAATAAGTGACACCATGAAGCATTCCAATGTCAGAATAATTGGAATCCCGGAGGGGGTGGAGAGAGAGAGAGGACTAGAAGATGTATTTGAGCAAATCGTAGCTGAGAACTTCCCTAATCTGGGGAATGAAACAAACATTCGTGTCCTAGAGGCAGAAAGGACCCCTCCCAAGATCAAGGAAAACAGGCCAAAGCCCCGGCATGTAATAGTAAAACTTGCAAATCTTAGAACCAAGGAAACCATCTTAAGGGCAGTTAGGGGGAAGAGATTCCTTACGTACAAAGGGAGGAACATCAGAATAACGTCAGACCTATCCACAGAGACCTGGCAAGTCAGAAAGGCTTGGCAAGACATATTCAGGGTACTAAATGAGAAGAACATGCAGCCAAGAATACTTTATCTGGCAAGGCTGTCATTTAGAATGGATGGAGAGATGCAGAGCTTCCACAACCGGCAGAAACTGAAAGAGTATGTGACCACTAAGCCGGCCCTGCAATAAATATTAAGGGGGGTCTATAAAAGGAAAAAGACCCCAAGAGTCATATACAACAGAAATTTACAGGGACAATCTATAAAAACAACGTCTTCACAGGCAACATGACGACAATTAATTCATATCTTTCAATAATCACTCTCAACGTGAATGGCCTAAATGCTCCCATAAAACAGCACAGGGTCGCAGATTGGATAAAAAGACAGGACCCATCCATATGCTGCCTACAAGAGACTCATTTTGAACCTAAAGATACATCCAGACTGAAAGTGAAGGGATAGAGATCTATCTTCCATGCCAGCGGACCTCAAAAGAAAGCTGGGGTAACAATTCTTATATCAGACAAATTAGATTTTAAACTAAAGTCTGTAATTAGAGACACAGAAGGACACTATATCATTCTTAAAGGGTCTATCCAACAAGAAGATCTAACAAT